CACCACCATGCAGTGACAGACCTGGGAGACAAATGAATAGAAATGCTGCATGGCCAAGGGAAAAGGGCGGACACCAGCAGCGACAGACCTGCAAGACATATGCATAGAAATGCTACATGGTCAAAGGAAAAGGGCGGACACCAGCAGTAGCAGTGACAGACCTAGGAGACAAATGAATAGAAATGCTGCATGGCCAGCGGAAAAGGGCGGACACCACCAGTGACAGAGTGACAGACCTGGGAGACAAATGAATAGAAATGCTGCATGGCCAGCGGTAAAGGGTGGACACCTGCAGTGACAGACCTGGGAGACAAATGAATAGAAATGCTACATGGCCAACGGAAAAGGGCGGACACCAGGAGCGACAGACCTGGGAGACAAATGCATAGAAATGCCACATGGCCAGCGGAAAAGGGCGGACACCACCATGCAGTGACAGACCTGGGAGACAAATGAATAGAAATGCTACATGGCCAGCGGAAAAGGGCCGACACCAGCAGTGACACAAAGGGCGGACACATCTTAAGAAAGAATTGAGAACCCCTAACAGTAAACTGTTTGGGGAAAAATCTTTCCAGGTTGAGTTTGGGGAGATGGTTCGTTTTCAATGTAGAATGTTTATGACTTAATTCTAGTAGTAGGATGTAGTATAGGTAACCCTTCATGGAGTGTCGGGGAAATTTGGTGTTGGATCTTCAGGAGTTTCTTCCGGGACCAATGAATTTCATGACACCTTCTATGACTCTGGAGTCCTTTCCTCTGCAGCCCAAAACCGCTGCCCGCTCGCGGGCTTCTCCACCTTTCACCTTTCCAGTCAGAACCTCCGCGTCCGGCGGGGCTGGTGAGGCTGGTGACCAGAAAAGATGTGCAGAACATCGCCTCATGAGGTCCTCGGGATTATCTCATGTGATCTCATGTGATTTCATGATCCCAACACATCCTCATCTCTCCCAAAAAAAGATCTCGGATATCACAAGAGACAAGAGTTCTTTCGCTGGTCTGCCCTTCCTTTTCCACAAAACAGCTCAGGTCTGCCGTCCACAAAACAGCCCACCCTTCTCGCTCGCTCCTGGACGCCAGCGAGCTGAAGCATCAGAAAGCAGGTCGAGGGTCGAAGCCTCTACCGGGCGAGGGTCGATGCCGTGCCCACTCATTCTGCCCGCAACCAGCTTTTCCGGAGTTTCCAAAAGGGCGAGCTGACTTTTTGAGGAGCCGGTCGGGCATGTGGAGTCCTGAAATCAGCTTGGCAGCTTGGCGGCATCAGGATGATGGCAGAAATGGCGTTCTGGAAACCACGGCGCGGCGACCGCACGAGGCCGCCGGTGTTCAGAGGTGAAAACCTGAAGAGGTGGCTTAAATCATTGCACTCCCCCTGGAAGAATCATGGTTACGTGGGCCCCTTGGATGACCGGCAAATCCCCTATATACAAACAGGTGGTTTTCCACTTCACTTCCGTGTGGATTCCAGGAAGTGTAGCCCCTCCCGAAAGTGAGATGGAAGTCCATTGGAGTTGCTTGGGCCTATAAACAGCTCCCTTCCAAAGTCCAGTCTGACGGAACAAACCGCATCTGACCTCCTTGAGTCCTGTGAACTTGACCAATTCCAGTGCCCGGTCGGGAACCCAGGAACCTGCCCTGTTTCGCATGACCAACTCCCCCGGCCTCATACGTCCGTAGTTGATGTGGACGTCAGGCCGCAAATACGGCCGGACCTGCCGAAATCGGTCGCCACAGGCGAGTCGCCCTCCGCACCCGTCATATCCGCCATCCATGGGACTGGAAGATATGCCGCCCCATTGAACCCCCTGGCACCACCCCAATGTAGGTAAATATGTCACACATGGATGGTCTGGGTATGAGTAGAGGCAGCTTTGGAAAGCAGCTGTGCTCGCCTGGATTTGGTTGGGGTGGGCATGGCATAGAGATGTTGGTGGGGAATGTGCAGAGTAGGTGTCTTGCAGGTGTGCTGAAGCTGGAAGATGACTCGGGAGGGATATCTCACCATGAGGATCCCTTCAAAGACAGACGAGTTTTCCGGAGCATCTTCTTTCGCGGAATCAAAGGAACCCATGCCGCTGTACAAAGCAAAGGGGCCTGATTGAACATTAGGCCATTAGGCAACCGCAGCCCATTTCTTTCCGACGTGGCCGACACTTGAACCTGCTCTTCGCGCGCTGTATGCATTTATTTTTCCGGTCAACGACAGCCTCTCAAAATCTCAATCACAACTCACTCAAAGGTCACCCATAAAACTCTTGATTCAATTCACACCCCATATGAAGAGGCTTTTCCATCTCAATGGGGGGTGTTATGGTCCTCAAGCGCCTTCACGCAGCCGGAGACCCCCCGCCTCGCGCGGCAGCACGAAGTAGCGTTCGGGACGATGGCTGAGCCTCCGAGTGGCAGGGAGGGAGAAGAGGAGACGCAGCAGATCCACCGAACCTGAGGATTTGTGGCCAAGCAGTGGTTTGAATTTAATCCCATTTAAAGAACCATTGTTTCATTAAGGATGTTTACACTACAACACCAGGTCAACCTTTCTTTTGGTCTTTGAAGGCTAGGGCTAATGTAGACTTCCATGGAGTTGGATGGTTCTTGAATCAGCCCCCCCTGCAATGAGCACTCCGCCATAGAACGCATAACGGTATTGGTATGTTCTTTGAGCCCTTGCCAGGTGTTTCAACTCGAACATCTAGAAGCTCTGGAGGGTCTCAGTTGCCCTCAAACACTTGGTACCCTGCCCTCATAGGTCCTATAGGTCCTCATGCAAGTCAAGCATTCATCTGACAAAAAAGGTTGCGGTCTTTTATGAGGTTTTTTTGTTGCGGCCCTGGTTTCTTCATGGTTCCTGCGTGCAGAACAATTGAAGAAGCACCCTCCCAAAACACCCTCCTCCAGGGACACTGCGTCGTTTTGAGGCTCTGATGACTTCCTGGGATCCTCGTTCGGCAGATGTTTGGTTTCGCAGCGCCCCGACAGTCCGTGTTGCGGAACGAGGTGTGTGTTGAAGCACTAAAATATCGTTGGGTTCCGCGGAGGTCCAGCACCCTCCGATGGCATGAGTTCCCTGCTTGAAGATCCCAAGAAGGCCAATATATATATATTTTTATTTATTTGTTTATTTATTTATTTATTTATAGATGGTTCTTTATAGACAGCCGTTCAAAAAATATACACAAAATGTATATATATATAATTATATATGACGCACTGCCTTCGCTCCTGTTTCTTGCCAGGGTGTTGGCTCAAGACTTGCGAGCGCCCAATGTGATCTTCACAAAGGGCCCGAGTCACCCTGCACTCTCTGGTGCACCCTTCCCCTGAGCTCAATTCAGGGGGGATATGGGCGGGTTGACTTGAGATCCAAACGTGCGGCCATCCACACCTCTACTTCATGCTTCAAACTCGTTCAAAGAACCTCTATGACGCACTGCCTTCGCTGTTTCTTGCCAGGGTGTTGGCTCAAGACTTGCGAGCGCCCAATGTGATCTTCACAAAGGGCCCGAGTCACCCTGCACTCTCTGGTGCACCCGTCCAACTCCAGCTGCTTCTCCAAACAAAGCTGTTCTGTTTGTGATCAGCGCTCTGGCTTATTGAAGCCGTTTAGCAAACTGCTCAGCCCGTTGTTCAGCTTCAAAACTGAGAAAGCATCGTCCCAGAATCTTGCACATACGTGGAGGGTAACTTTGAGCCAAATGAGTCTTCCATTCTCCGTTTGGTAGTAATCCGAACAAAGAGTCATGTGGTTGTCCAGTTCTTTTGCAACAACCACGCTTGGCCCCAATGCACCGAAATGGTTCAAACGAAGAAAGTGACACCCAAACCCCAACAATAGATGACCCCATTCCAAACATACACATTTCAAAGGTGGCAAAGGACACATGTCGTTTCCGCCTTAGTTGCTGCATGCCAGGAGTCAGCCACATACGAGATTGCGCTGGATTCTCCAAAGTCCACGGGATTCCAAGAGTCAAAGCGAGTGACAGAATGCGCAGGGAGAAACGAAGGAGTAGGTTACCCTCCAGCACTTTCTGTCGGTCACCCGGTCGAAGATCCGGGAGCCCCATGACAAAGCGTCACTTCTCAAAGGCGGTGGACCGGGACGTCGGTCACGTGCCCTGGAGAACGTGCTGCAAGGGACCCATCCATGCCCGTCTCACAACTTTGCAAACAAGCTTCGGGACCTGCCAGCCATACAGCAGCGAGGGCGTCGGAAGACCATGGCATCAGTAAGAAGATACCAAAACGGGGCGCGGTTAGCTCAGATCTTCCGAAGCCTTTCGGAGCTGAAGCAAACCCAATGCGCCCGGGCCGCAAAGGATCTGTCAAAAACACTGCTCTTCCTGCATTGAAATTTTTGAAATTTGGCCCAGCTATGGGGCCAAAGATGCAGGTGTTTCTTGAAATCTTCAGTGGATGCGGACAACAAGGGGAAAACCATCTCAAGGGACAACAATTGGTTTGTGCTTCTTTGGGACATCAATCTCGGGCCCGAATATGACCTCAGAAGACCTGACAAAAGAGCGTTGATTTTGGGCTGGATACGGCCAAACCACATCAGAGCTGGTCAGTTGGGAACACTGCCTCTAATTCCAACGCCTCGCTGGCCGCCTCGAGGAAGTGGTTCAGGTTGCTGGCGGTGTGTCTCAGGACTAGTGTGTACTTGGAATCTTGCAGATTGAGCAGAAACCGATGTAGTGCTTCTCCCACCCCCTTGTGGTAAGGGAGGTCCAACGCCAGTGCTTCGTCGAATTCGATGGTCTTGGATGCGACGCCAACTTCTTGTGGGCGCAGTGCAATAGTCCATTGGCGGTAAGCCGCCTGTCCACCAGTCTTCCCTGCTTCTCGGCCCGTGTCTTCTGAGGCGATTTCTTCACGCGCTGCTTGCTCTTTTCGTTCTGACACCACCGAAGCGGGAACCATCGTCGAAAAAGCGCTTTGGAAGAGAAGGTGTCCAAATGCCTCTTGACAGGTTATCACCAGGGTTCCATTCAGAGGGAATCCAAAGAATGGAGATAGAGAAACCACCAGCCAAACAGTGTGCACCAACCTGTGAACAGACATGCCTGAGCTTATAATCATGCGCGCGCCCCCTTGAAATGGAACCAGTTGCGGTCATGCTATCACTCAAAATCAAGTGCCTCTTTCCAACACTGCTCTTACTCCGTGCAATGTGCTTCACATCATAGAGTGTTGATCTTGCTTCAAAACCAGGCAATGTTCCCGACTGACTTCACCTGTGCATGCCCACAGTCTTCCACTTCTTGTCAACTGGATTGTGGTGAATTGTCTCAACCGGGGCTCTAACATTGTTTCAAATTGTCTTCAAAAACTATGGTCCCTTGTCCCAAAGAAGTGTCATCCTGCAAAACACGCTGTCGAGGGTTGTTGGCGACTGTGTCATGGAACTGCCACCTCTCCTGAACCCGACCCAACCGTTGAACCAGTTCGATAGGGTATCGGTCTTGTGTGGAAGTAACACCCATTCCCGGCAGTGAAGCATCAGCCGCGTGTACGCATGTAGACCAAGGGGCTGACATGTCACGGTAAATCAAAGGAATCGCTCCATCAAAAATATCAAGCTCACGCCTAACACCTTTCCACAAAGCAACCTCCTTTGAACGGCGCTTGTACTTTTGAATAAACTTGTAAAAACCCCCAAAGATAGCGAAACACTCCCGCCGAGCCAAAGAAAGAAAGCTGCAATGCCCAATCAACTTTTCAAGGACTTGTGAGCTGCTTCGTCCTCGTTGGAGTAAGGCTCGAATCAAGAGCCTGACTTTCCATGCCCTCTCTCGAGTAGGCTGATCCCCCCGTCACGGGTGATCTCCCAGCCAAGCATCTTGCCTCCTTCGGAGATCTCCTCCTCATGCACTTGTAGCCCAGCATCCTTTAGAGCAGCTATGGCTCGTGCATGTGTCTGCTACCTTCTTCTTGTCAGTACCCAGAACGATCATGTTGTCAACGTATTTGAGTGTGGCAACACGACATGTTGGGCGGCACCCTTCTGTCACGAATCCGGTTGCGGCAATATGAGAAAAAGACTCATGAATAGCTTGGCACAAGAAAAGAGCCCTGGTCCAGCCCATAGGCACAACAGCCAGTCGCGGTGTGATCCAGGCATTAGGTTTAACTCTCTTCCTCTCAATGCAGGTCACGCCAACTCGTCCGGCTTGTACCTTTGTCAAGCTGAAATAAGGTCAAAGGTCGACAGGCAGCTCCACGTGGTAGAAAGCGTCTTTCAGATCCCCAACTGCAACTGTAATCTCCTCCCCCTCAGCAATCTCAAGGGCACCCAGGCTCTCGCCTGTGCTCAGCTGCACATGAGCTGGATCAGCGAAGTGGGCATTGGCCCGACGGACATCCTCAACTTGCTGTTCTTCTTAGTGACAAAGAAGAAAGCTATCTGCTCTTTTCCAGGCTGCAGCGAGTAGTCCACCAACTTGGACTGATGAAGCCGCTTGAGAAAGTCATGGTAGGTCTTTCCGTGCTGTAGGAGCGGATCAGAGTAAGGCTTGTCCACCCCACACTCAGAAAGTCGTTGCTTGGCAATCTCCGGCCTTCTGTGAAACAAAATCGTCCACTTTGCGGCGACCGTCACTGCCCCACAAGGCCTCCAAGGGTGAACGATGCCCATTCACCCACGGTCTGGCTGTCCGTGTATCCACTGGCGGCCTGGAGCTGCAAAAGCGCCCCCCGACCATCAATGCCACCAGGTGGTTTACCCATCTGGTGAACCATGCGTTGAGTGTATTCAAGAGACTCATATTGCGCAATGTTGTTCCCAAATATACATTCATCCAAATTCAACCCCCGCTTTTGTTTACAAGGACATCCATACATTGAATTCACGACCTAATTGTGTGGTTCGTCTCCTCCTCAATATGTTTTGCAACCTCTGCACTTCTAGTCACCTTGCGGGAACAAAGTTTCTCGACGGCTCCAGTGGTCTGCAGTAAGGACAGAGGAAACAAATCACGAACCCTGCGGCCACGACCATGCACGGGAGAGTTCGGCTGTTGAGGCATGCCCTCTCCCTCATCATGCCTCAGCCCCCGTTCAGGGGGCATCTTCACCCTTCTTGTTCTTCTGCGTCTGCTGCTGCTTGCAGGCCAATTCACGATCTTCTCTGGCTTTGCGGAGGTTTTTGGAGAGCGTCGCATCACGCTCAACCTCACTCTTCACATGATGTAGCAAGTCAGGAGCCACCATCAAAGTCGACGCCTGACGGGTGATCCCACCAAAGGATTGTTGTTCCTCCAGCGAAAGACGACCCCCGACTGCTTTGCTCTCATTCTCCCTGGCTCGCTCAGCATACGCATACTCAATTGTCTGCAGGCGACGGAAGACAACCGAGGAACATCATGTTGTATCCATCCAGCTGATCAAACCTGGAGCGCATGCTATGCAATCATTGACAATTGAAAGTGCTCTTGGACACCCCTGGAGGATGCTTCGATCTTGCACCTCACGAAACCTTTCATGATGTCCTTCAAAACCCAGATCCTCAACAACAAGGTAATTGATGCACCACCTGCTGGTTCGAGGTCCAGTGAGAGTCCGACCGACGTCAACCTCTTGACACTTTTTGGCTATCTCTTTCAAAGTGCAGTCTGGCTTGCCGAGGGCATCTTCGTCCTGAGCAACAATGCGGTAGTCGTGCTTGGAGGGACGTTGCAAAAACTGCTTGCGGTCCCCCCATCGATGCATTGCACAAAGATTGTCTGTCCATCACTCAAAGTGTGTCTAGCTCTAGAATCCCTCACCAATGCATCAGGCACTCCACCCACGGCGTTGCCGTATCTGATGTCCCCAACTGTCTCAGCTGCAATCCAGTACAATGTGCCGGGCTTCCACTGGCTACCTTGATCACCTGGTCCAGCACAGCCGCCTTCGATCAAACCTCTAGCCAGTTTTTCTTCACGCAGCACTCTTTGGGCTTCAACACGAAGGCCACCCAACTCAGCAGCAGTAAACACTGGCAATGGGTACACATCTGCAGCGTTGATGCCATTGGGGAGGATATGGGGTGATGGCTTCACCCGAATCCCTTTCAAATCAGCATTCAACAAACTGAGCTCTTCGTAGTGAACGTCTCTGTCGGGAGTTGCCACCACGTAGTCCTCCCCAGTGCTGAATGCTAAAGGTCAACACCACTCACTTTCAATGTCAAGCCAATGTCAACCGACCAACCGACTGGCTCTTCCCGCTCAACTGAACAACGTGCTGCACACTCTCGCCCCACCTCAACCGCCACCTGCTCAGCAATTTCCTGAGTGTAATCCTCCAGCTTCCCTGAAAGGATGTGCCGACAGGTGAACGATCACCAAGCTAAGCAGATGGCCGGCGAGAGGGACCACGGGGGAACCCATGTGGCACCGATCGACCGCCCCTCTTTGACTTGAGATCCAAACGTGCGGCCATCCACACCTCTACTTCATGCTTCAAACTCGTTCAAAGAACCTCTATATATGAAAAAGAAAACTGAAAGGTGAAAGTAGAAGGGTCTTTTGCATGTGGGTGTTCCCAAAATCTATCCGCCACCCTGATCAAGTGTCGCACTGCACTGCCAATGTCGCAACTGGAGGGGGGGAGAACTGGCAAGTAACTATAGTCTATAGTATACTATAGTAGACTTTTGATGAAAACATCACCAAAAAAGAAACTCGAAGAGGTGTTACAATCCAAATCCGGGGGGTGGGGTGGGTTACAAAGGAAGGGTCCAACCGAACTCGTTCTCGCTCGACCGAAGCGGTGAAGCGGAACCGCTCACTGGACCCAGCAGAGACCAGAGACCAGACCGATCGATCTTCCCAAGGATGCATCTCATGTCGGCCTTTTGGTGACATGCTGTGCGTGATTCTTTTGGAATAGGCAGTAGGCATACTTGTGGAATCTGGTTGATACGTGTTGCCGCATGGTGCAACCGTTCGGAAGATCTAAGAGGATTGGAACCGAAAAAAAGCCGAACTGGTACACTTAACCCCTCTATTGATCCTCCCTCTACGGCCAGATTGACTGGTCTCAGCTCTTCCGAGCTCCACACCCGGAGGCAGCACCACGCCACTCGGCGAAGAGCCTGGGCTAGGAACCGGAGGAAACGGATCGAAGATCCACCAAGAGTGGGGAGTAGTCTTCTGAAGGAAAGGAGACCCAAAAAACGATGGTTCTTGGGGAGTATCCGTATCCTGAAGCAACCCAGTATGAGTATTATGTATTTTCTAGTAGAGAGAGGGCTTGGCCCTTTCGCCCCCTCGCCCCCCCCCCCTCCCGAGTGGCGAAAGGCACGGGTCGGAACCGAAGCTGCCACGTCATGCGTCATGCGCAGGGTTTTTTTGCGCCTGGAAGAAAACAACACATCACCTCAACTGGCGGGTCTGCCCATGTCACAAAAGAAAGTGTCTTTTTCAGGGGCGACTGTACCTTGTCTTGAGCTTGTTTTGCAGCTTGCAGTGGGGCGACTGTAGCTGTGAGGGATGGTTTTCCCTCTATGACTTCCCTAGAACCCTAGGAATATAGAGCATGTTCTCACTCCAAAACAGGATCATTCAGGTTCTAGGTCCATCAGACTCCCCTCACTCCCTTAACTCAACTCCAAAACACGGAAGGCCAACCACCGCTACCTCTCCGCAGACTACCGCAAAGACCTGGCGGTTAACGACTGCTGCGGGACACTCCAAACACCTGCAATGTTGACCTTCAATCAACCCAAATGGTTTACCAACGCCACTGGAGTCACTCCTAGGAGGAAGGCTTTCTTCATTGATAGTCAGCATTTCATTGAGACTCTTCTTTCAACCCCCCCAGCCTAAAGAGCTTCGACATTTCATGAGGGGGCCCTGTTCACGGGGCGGTTTTGGAGGATCCCGACCAGAGTGGACGAAAGAAATGGCTAGTTGGGGTCATGACAGGTCATGACCTCG